GTGGCTGTTTTACCACCTGTTTCTCGATTGCGTGACATACGATAGAAGGTCGCCTGATGATCTTTGTTTCCGAAAGACATATTGATGATCGCTCAAGATATTGTACAGGGTTGAATTCAGAGATATACAAATGAAGACACTTTTCAACGTTCTAGGCATCGCACGATGAAAAGTAAGACCTCGTTACTCCCGAGCTCGCTTGAGAGTTGTCGATTGTTGGGAGCGACAACTGGAAAACAAAAAAACTGATTTCAAACTGATATTTTTCAGAAACTCTTACTCAGATTAATCACCGTATTCCATGAATAATTATTCAGTTTCTCACATACCTGATATTGTTTATTCGTACAGCAGTATCTGACTCATTTATTGACATGACTAACATTTTACATATAAACATTATCAGCTGTTCAAATGAATGATTAGATTTTGGAAGGCAACTCAACAAAACGCACAAAAAATGTCAACGTCCCGCAAATACAGGGCGTACGAAAATAATCCTCCTTCACAACTTTCGAACGAAGCAAGCTATCAAATTCGGACAACATTTTTGTGAGAAGAAATCATTTTTAGTTTTTTTGGTAAGGAAAGGTTTTGACTTTCTACTTCTCCATCTTTATACCCATAAAAGTTGAACTCTATACCAAGTTCTATAGTTGCACCTGTTCGATATGTAAAAAACAAATGAAAACCGTATAGTTCATGGATTACATAATATAATATTCGCAGAATGCAAAAACTAAGGAATTAATCACTCAATCATTATCGGCTAACAAAAAAGATGGAACATAGGGAACATTACAAAACTATGAGAAATTTTGTCACTGCTGCTGTAAGGGCCGAAAAAAAGCGTTTCTGAACTATAAATTTAAAAAACTCAACCAAAAATAAAAATGACAAGAACTGAAAAAACTAAACATCAAAAAGAAAAACAATGCTTCTTTACCAGAAGAACTACAGGACATTGAGGCACTCAATCGGTACTTTGTTGACTCATGTAAAAACTCTCGCCAGCCAAGCACTAGTTTACTAAATGAATATACTGCTGAAAAATTACCACATTTTTTTACATTCGTGGAGGTTAATGAAGAATTTGTTTTTCAAACTTTGAAAGGTATTAAGTCTAAAGCATTTGGGTGTGATAACCTTAATATTACTCTAATANAACATAACATAACATAACATAACATAACATAACATAACATAACATAACATAACATAACGATACGTAACGTAACGTAGCGTAGCAGAAAGAAACGAACATAACGTAACATAACACAACATGATAAGACATGACATAACAAAACATAACATAATTGTTATGTTCTGTTATGTTTTGTTTCGTCTGCTGCTGCGGCAGCAGCAGCAGACGAAAGTATCTCATGACCTTGAGTTACGTGTCAGATCATATGACCTTGTACATTGGCGTTTACGGAGAGATTTGGGTCTGCCTGTGACCTTGAAGTTCCCTACCACCACTTGATCTTGACATTTGATGACGTCATATGACCTTGAGTTACGTGACATGCTATATGACCTAGAACCTGGGCGTTAACTTTGGGATTCGTGTCTTCCTGTGATCTTGAGGCCTAAGTTATCTATAAATAAAAAAGGAGTCCTTACAGCAGAAAAATTGAAAAACCTAGAAATATATTTATTCAGTAAACCACTGGAATACATTGTTCAAGATCTCCTAAAAGAAAGATACATGTCATATATTGTCAAGTCATCTTGGAAATCCTCAAGATAATGATAGCAGAATATAATATAGAGAGGGTATACATTTTTGTTTTCTTTACAAACTTTTCTATGCGTAATTATTCAAAAATCATTCAGAATATCAGTGTTTGTTTAAGAAAAGCTATGCAACTTCGAAAAAGTGTAAGCCCCTAGAAAAATTACCCAAACTTTATACGTCTTGAAAATTCGTGCCCAAGCTTTAAACTTGCTGATAAACGGCAATAGATGTTTTTCCTGCGTATTATTCAGACAACTTCAATGTTGTTGAATGCGGGAAGGATTTTACTATCATTTCTTCGCCGTACACAATTTAAATCGAGGAGCTGCAAAGTATTTATGGTTCAATTTCCAGGCACTAATTCATAATAATTGCATTGCCCACCACATTATTGCTTTGGTTTTGGTATCGGAACTTTCACAACTTTTTAATTATACGGAAATTAACTTCTTTGTCCATTACTCATTCTAATAAAGGAATACAGGATGATTGACGATTTCGTACTTTGTTGAATGCACGAAAAATGAGATCTGAACTGTATTCTCTCATCGTGAGGGAATAGAGTTGTATGATGTATGGTTTTGGTATCATAGTTCCATGATAAATAGTATCCCCTAATAATTTTTCAGCTACAACTATCTCAGCCGCTAACATGTTAGCAGTAAGGTCTCACTAGAAAAAGGTTCAGGATAAAAGTTCTCGTGACAAAAACATTTCGCCAAATGAAATACCATACAAACATTCCTCCAAGTTTAGAGTTTTACAAAGATACGAAGACTCGTTTCATATTCCTGGCATATACAGGGTCATAATAAATCGTAATACGAAATAAATTATTTTCCGTAAATCTTAAATAAACTATGAACTATGTGGAATTTTATAGACTTTCTCTATCTCCATTATAAAATCTACTGGGGGTTTACTGAAAATTGAGGTAGTGATTTTGAAACCGTAACAAATCTTTGCTTGGAAGTAAGCAGTGTTTACAGTGTTCAATTCCAACAACTATTGATTTCCCCTCTCACCCGACATGAAAAAAGTTTTTCGGGTATCTGAGAAATGATAACCATCGTTGGTGTTATTGACTAAAGGATTTCGATTTGCCTGAGGGATAATACAAATGAATTCCAGTTAACTCGAAAAGCTGATTACATAAAATGCTATGTTCTGCGAAAACGTTGGGAAGTTTCGTTTGTATACACTGAACAATGGCAATCACATCGATTGGTATAGAAGTCGAAAAGTGAGCTTCCAGACAAATTGAATCAGATATCTTGAAAATTCACTGAGAAACTTCGAGAAAACTGATGAGTTTCAAATATTCTCGTATTGTTCAGAACATTTTTGATGTTTGTGAGGTGAAGAAATATTTGTTGCATGCAAAACTTCAGGCGGAGGGGGTTTCTGGATACGGAAAACAATATATGGAAGTTGAAGAAAAAGTGATGATGAATGAATTGTTCCGCTGAACAGATATCAGCGAGTATTCATTTGATTGAAATTATATATTTTCAATGGAGTTGTGCTGATAGAAAGGCGACTATCTTCTTGATTGAATGAATATTGAAGGTGCCCATACTCTTAACCTATCCAGATCATCAAAATATTTGTGAATTACAGTGCCGGCTGCTGCTGATGCAATTTTCGGTATATTTCGTCCATTACCTCATTACCACTAACTGCTGTGATGGTTTGATCTGGTTGACCAGCCGCTGACCACCATACAGTAACCATGGTCTTTTTTCAATAAGTTTCAGCCAGTGGGAAGTACCTAGGTGGCTCATCAGTGTCCATCCACTGTCCTGAACATCTCCTGTTGTCGTAGATGCTTCACTTTTCATCACACGTAACGATCCGATCCAAAAAGGACCTTTTAGTTGCCCAACAGCAAAGAAAAACAGTCCGTAAGACGTGAAACTTTCTATCTATCGTCCAAATCGTGGAGCACCCACTTTTCGAGAGTTTCAACCTTTCCAATACGTTTTAAATAATCAAAAACCGACCAATTCTTCAGCCCTCCCACGCACCATTTATGATGGGTCAGTCTCCATCAGGGTTCTCAAATCCTCGTACTGAATTACTGTGGGTTGACCACTCAGGAGCTTATCTTCAAGGCTAAAATCTCCAGGACAAAATTTCGCAAACCGTACAGTGCGTTCCCAA